TATATTTTAAATTCTAAAAAAAAAAAAAAAAAATTTACAAACTTTTGATCCACTTTTTAAACAATTCTAAAGAATTTCTTGGTTGATCATGTGGTATAAAATGCCCAGATTCAAGAACTTTTACAAACCATAAATTTTTAACCTCTTTAATCTCACCAACTTTTACTCCACCCACTGTCCATTCTTTGAATATTGCATCATTAAATTCTTGGTGATATTTCCATTTTAATGATTTAGCCATTTCATTTCCACCCAACCTTTAAATTAAAAATTATTTAAAAGTTTTTCATTAAAAAAAATAAGTTGAGAAATGTTATATTACCAGTTACAAATGTAGTCAGCATCTCCAGTGAAAAACATTATTGGTACATCATTATCAAGAAGAAACTCAACTTGAGATTTTGAAGAATGCATTCTAATTAAAAAAAAAAATCATTATTAAAAGTTAACATTTTAATTAAAATGATAATTCATAAAAAAAATAATATATACAAATCCCCCGAATTAGTAAATCTAAAATAAATTTCTTCATTATATTCTAAATATTTTGTTATTTTAGTAGTATTAACACCAATTGATTTTAAAACAATAGGATTATCCAAGAATTTTGTATATATAGGAATTGGAATATCATTTTGAGTACGAATATCATAAAGTCCAACACCAGAGTTTTGAATAAATATCCCATTATAACCATCCCAACATGTTAAATTAGCTGTGATGCAATCATTCATTTTATTGGTCTCGTAGCATTCATTAACTATTTTTAATTAAAAAAAAATAGGACTGTTATTTTTCAAAATTTTTAATATTAATTAATTAATAACTATAGAAAAAAAAACATACTTGTATATTGACATAATATCCATGTATCATGCATCGCTTCAATTAATGGTGAACCTAACAAGGGTTTATCTATACATATACATAAAGAGATGTGATTTTAAAAATTTGGAAATAAATTAAAAAATTTAAACACATGAAAAATTATATACATGTATTATTCTCAGCAAAATTAATATAGGATCTCCTATAATATAAAAGGTTAGCAATAAAACTATAAAAAGAAAAAAATCTCTATAATAAATGTGAATGTGAAGAGGAAACTTGCATTTGAATAGTAGGGTCAACCCACGCACTTCCGATTCCACAAGACTTAAGATTGATTGGTATTAAATCTTTTAATTGCCCAGTTTTGATTAAATTATTATTTTGAATAATAAGTTTAGCTATGAATGGAACTGAAAAAGTTGAAAAGTCAGTAAAATTCTAATATATTAAGCTATATAGAATAATTATAGATGATATACCATAATGACCACCATAAGATTCACTAAAAAGATGTAAATCTAATGTTGAATACTTTGGAAACATTGTAAAAAATCTTTGTAAAAATTCATAAATATCTAAGGCAGCTTGTTCTGATGTGTTTACTAAACGATTTCCATATGAGAATCCAGCACCAATTGGCTTTTAATTAAAAAAAAAAATTGTTAATATTTTTAATAATAATAAATTCTCAATTTATAATAATAAAATAATAATAATTTTAACCTGATCAATAAATAACAGATTCGTCACTTCATTCCAACTATTCGCAGCCATTCTGCTTTGATTCATATTTCTTTTTATTTTACAAGGTCCAACTTCTTGGAACAATGCAAACATTGAAGAACAACCAGGACCACCACTAAGCCATATGGTTAATGGAGATGTTTTTGGATTTTTACGAGATTCAAAAAACCAAAAAAACATATTTGCATCTGGTGCAATGCTTAAATATCCAGAGTACTATTTTTAAAATTAATAAATGGTTTCCATTTAATTAATTTGATTTAAAAGAACCCCCAAATTACAGGTTTGTAAAAAGGTTCTGGTATGATTACTCGAAAGTTATTTCTCCGTCAACTCATTTCCCTGACAAATGCCATTTTACTTATAGCACATTTTTCGACAAGACTTATATCCTGACATTACATCTTTTCGAAAACCCTTTTCTCGACAAAACATATTTCTGGCAGAAAAATTCCCTAACATGTCCCGACACATAATTCTAACCAACCCTAATCCTAACACTAAATCAGACCAAGGTTAATTATCAGGGAAATAATTGTCGGGAAAATGGAATGCGGTCAAAATATCCCATTAAAATTTATCCTATCGAAAATATGTAATATCGGATGAAATGGCGTGTTGGTAATATGGTTTCGGGAAATTTGTTGGCGGGGAATTGAGCAACAACGTTGTAAAAATACCTGTTTAACCTTTGAGTCACATAATTTACTTGAAACAATATGATCATTTAGAACTGCATTCAAAAAAAAAAAAAAAAAAAGGAATTATTATGAAAATTATAAATCATATTTTACGAAAATTCTTGGTTTTGCTTACATGTAAATACACCTAATGACGTATCATTTTCTTCAAAAAAGGTTATAGGTAATAATAGTTCAGAAATTAAAAGTAATAATATGAAAAGTAGAACAATTTTTGATGAAAAAAATGTTGAATATAACAAATATAATTTCTTAAAGATCATTATGAAATTTTATCGATACGTATCGAGATATTATGTGAATACTATTATAATAATTATAAAATGTTTAATATATAATTATGATATCCTCACAGTGTTCGAGGAAACGAAATATATTCAGTATCACATTTACGTCACTAATATAACCAAATTCAACAACTTTTAATTTAAAGAAAGTTAAGAATTGAATAGAGCTTAGTGCAGTAAAAAAAAAAAATGTACGTACAACACGGGAAATTATGTGCATTGTGTAGTACAAACTAAAACGGCTATGTACGCCAATATGTTCAAGTTACGTTTATGTATTCAAGAACAAAACTCGAATTAATCTAGAAATAATAAATATTTAAACAAACCTAAAAAAAAAAAAAAAAAAAAAACTTTAATATTACGAAAAAGTCGGTACTAATGCTTGTAAGAAATTATATCAAGCTATTTTAAAAATTGATAATATAATTTTGCTTTTGTATTTTAAATGAAATAAGTAGTGTTCTAAATCGGACCAACAAATGCAATCGATTAGTCAGTCAAAAAATTTATAAAAAGTTGATTAAATCAGAATAGTCGGATAATCGATTAACTGATTAATCGATTAGTTGTGAATTTTTTCTTTAAACTTTTACTTTACAACTAATCTTCAATTTAATTGGTTGCAAGAATTTATTGGGGTATTGTACGTATTAATCGATTAGTTGGTCCAATAAATTAATAGTACGTTTGTAAAAATCAATCGATTAATAGCCAACCAAGGCTGTTTGAATTTGAAACTTCTTTTAATGTTATTTCTTTATGTTTGTACGAGGGGCGAGGAAAAATTAAACAAATGAACATAAATTCTGACGTGCTCGTGTTTAATGTTGGTTGTCCAGCTTTCCGAGATTTACAAATTTTTCTGCGATACTCTAATT